TCTCTAGTCTGTTATTCAAATTCAAATTATGAGGGAGCGTGTGACGATCGATCTACTACGGGCTTCTGTACTTTTTGAGGGACTCATCTAATCTCTTAGAAGAGCAAGATATAGTTAGTTGTCTCTCGCTAATCGGTAGAGGCAAAGTATCGGGCACTGACACTTGGGACATATGAGATTATCTGGCTACGATCGATTCTTGGTGAGTTGGGATTTCTAGTGACTTCTTCATCTACATTATATTGTGATAATCTATCTGCTATTCAGCTCACTTCTGACTCTATATTTACACGAGATGATAAAGCATATAGAAATCGATGTTCATTTTCTTCGTTTGTTGGGACCAGTGATCTGGTTGCGGATGTTTTCACAAAATCTGTCACTCTATCCATTTTATTCATTCTTCGGGACTCCGTTGTCAAATTTGACTTAGTTGGCATTTTTATGTTTAGTTTGAGGGGGAGTGTTGGAGTAATAGCAGTCTAATTTATTAAATTTTTTTTAGTTTTTTTTTTTTTAGTTTTTTGTGTTTATTGTAATTTTCATTGGCTATATATATATATATATATGAGCTATACTCTTAATTTGTATCCCTTTTCATTCACAAATATTTCAAGTAAGAGAAAACATAGGAATTTCAATTTTACAAACCGAGACAAATCTAAAATGACAAGAAATCCGCAAACTAATTAATCTGAATCATAACTGAGTCAAAGCAAGTTAGCTATTCACTTTAATCCATTTGCGTTATTTGCATGTTTTTGAGTCACGGTACAACTCAATTAAACCACAATAAATCCGGCGTTTGATTACCGGAGTTTCCACCTAAACGTCGCTGAATTCTGGCATTTCCATATCAAATGCCACTAAGTCATTTAAAATTAAAGAAAAACATGTCGTTGTTGTCGTCCCACTCCGAAGTCATAAAACTAATTTTTTCTCTCTCTCGACATTTCCTCGCCGACTCCATCCCCCCTTCTTTCTCTCTCTATCTCTCTCACACACACTCACACTTTATCTCTCTCGAATATATAACTGTACATTCTGCATTTGGAGAGCAAATTTCAACACAAATTCTTTCTGTTCGTCTGTATTTTGAGTGCAAAAAACTATTGTTCAAAGCTGAAAGCACTGTAAAACCCACGAGGTCTGCCAAGTTTTGATCAAGCTCCTCTTTGGACTTGAGAACTTTGCAGATGGCCCCAGTGAAGGCGAAAAACTTCAGGAGGGCGACGAGAACAGAGAGGACGAACGGAATCCACCAGTAGTGGCATTTGAGAGATGAGGCTGTGGTGGTTGATGTGAGTTGGATGGTTTTTGTTTCCAGGTTTTGAATTCTCTCTTCTTGTTATATGTTCGTTTCATCTAATTTGTCTCTCTCACTCTCTCTGGATTGGATCCTGCAGAACATTATGCAATGAAGGAGATTGATTCATGGATGCTTGCTCTCTCTCTCTCTCTCTCTCACACACACACACACACAAAAGAAGTGATTGTATTTAATTGCAAAATTAAAGCCTGATTTTGGACAGCAAGTATTCCTCCCCCAAGTTTTGATTATGCCAGTTAAATCATCGAAGTATGAAGAATTTTCTTTGACTTATTCTAAAATTTTTGTAAATCGAATGGAACAATTACATTGAACTTACAGTTAGATAGAGAACTTTTGCAAAGTTTCGACCATTCAATTCCTAAAATTTTTTGTAGTTTCTTAATTGTTCTACTTGTTCATAGGTTCATTGTGCATCTTTTTTGTATATCTTTTACAGGTTCCATCCTATATATCTGGATCTGTGGCTGGCAGCTATGACAATGAAGCTGTTGCTATATTTGTTGTGATGTTCAGTTTTTGTCACTATATAAAGGTTACTTTTAATACTGATTTCTAGTTTTGATATCTATTTGAATGTACCCATATTTTAGGCAAAAAATATCACCAAAACGATACTAATTTCCAGTAATTTGTGACAGCATCATGGCCTATGGCATCAGTTGAGGCAGGTAAGTGTAGTTTCATTCCATTACTCAAATAGCATAAATTTCTCCATTTCAATTGAGTACCTATTTATGTTCCTCACACCTATTTCATTGTTATATCATGTTTCAATTGAGTTCCTATTTATTTCAACACGCATTCGAATTAGATCATGTTTTTTGCTTTCAGTTTTTACTAACACCATTTTGCAGATTTGGCAGTGCATTGTTGCTGCTACTCTGCAGTTATATTTAATGTTAGTTTGATTTTTAAGGAAGGTTAAAGGGATAACATTTTGAAAAATCAGTGGCCAACTTTATTACAGTGAGGAAAAATTATAATGTCCTCTCTTATACTTGAGATCTTCGAGTCCTTATGGAACTAGACAGTTAGCTCATCTTTGACCTCTGTGGGCCTGCCAATTGAATTATTATTCTGTTTTCACATTGTGGTGAAAAACTTGTCATCATTGTAGCTCAACGTATGTATGTCATCCTTTTAGTTGCAAATTGAAGGTAGGCGAAATGTACTTGTGAGGAACTTATATTTGTCATGAATTCTGTGGATTAAAAGGAATTGAGTGAAATATGCAGATGACTCGATATATAAAATCTTCTCAGTGGTTGTGAACATATAAACATTTTGTGCATGGAGATTCTTATTCTTGAATTTAAATGGATGGTTTGGCCTTTGCGTTTAGGCATCGATGGTTGGCCACAAATATGGAGTTCTTCGGTGGAGCAAAACAGTCAGCAAGTAAAATTTCTTCTGCTGGCATGTTTTTAGCCTTTAACACTTTAACAGGTTTATTTTTTCCTACTTGCTAGAGAAAACCGTTGAAGGAACTGCAGCTGGTATAACTTCTGTCTTGGCAGCTTGCTCTGTTCTCCTTCCAATTGTAGCAACAACTGAACATACACTTACTCTCAGGATCCCCCATCCCCCCCCCCAATATACTTCTGACCTCGCAAAGCACTTGTATACGCGCCTGTGCACAAAGACGGCGAGGCTTATGCATTGGTTCATTCTTCTGTTGGTTGTCTCTGACCCATATTAAGTCATTGAGATCATATTTCATTCATGATTGTTCCCTTCCTCTATAATATAAATGCCCCATAGTTGGAGAAACCTACCTATGGAAAATTGGTTTCTCCTTCGTAATTGATACCCATTTTGACAGCTGTGTTGTCGATTTGTGCAGCACTGGTTCTCTCTTCTCCTCACTGTGACCCTGAGCGGCTTGTTGGAGGCCTACACCGCACAGCTTGATAATGCCTTCATACCCCTGGTTTTCTACAGCCTTCTCTGCCTCTAATTAAATGCAAGCTCCACTCCTCACACAGGAATAAGCATACTCGAACACCCTTTTTGTAGATACAACTAACAAGCACACACTTAGCATGTATGATACAGGTCCATAAGGAGATAATGCGGTATAGTTGTATGTTATTTTATTAATTATTTGATTTTGGAATAGGCACAGCTTCACCAATATTGACATTAGAATAGAAATATATTTTTCAGTAGACGGAATGGAACAATCCCTGTATTTGTGCCTGTAGAGGATTAGACAGTCTCATTATGGAGACATGTAGAAGGGAATTTCTTAAGATTTTGAAATATATATTGAGACATCCAATGAGTCGTCGTTTTATCCATCTTTCTTTTTTCCCCTGGACTTGCTAGTGTTACTGTGAGTGAAATGTTTTAACATCTTTCTTTATATGTTATTCTTTTTAGTACTGGAGCGTAATTCTTTCTTCGGTATCGGATGATAGTTCAGCTAATGGGTTTTATTCAATGGCTGGTGTTTAGATATGAAAAACAATCTAGACCAAAAGAAAAAAAAAACAGATATGAAAAGCAATACCTGGCGTTTATATAACTGTCACAAAGCAATGAATAAATTTCCGGCGTCGGTTATAATTTTCCGATCACCGGAGTTAAAAATAGCTAAGTGGCGTTTGTGTAAACGTCAAGGCTTAACGCCGACAAAATTTCCAACGGAGCTTTAGACGACTTTTAAACTAAACGCCGAAAAAAGTAATAAGTGGCGTTTAACAAACGACAGTAAATCTCTTTCTTTTTTTGTAGTGTTGTAACCTGAAACATTAAAAGGTATGGGGCACCTCATATTTGTAGCGCTTCCCCAAGCAATATGTTGGACTACTTACCCAGAAGAACAATTTGTTGAGCCAACAGGGCTGAACCATGTGTGAAATGAACAAAAGAATCGTTTTGTACCCAGGAACTATAGTCCAAGCAGAAACATTTGGACATTTTTCTTTGGGTCTAATCCACTTTGATGGGGGTGCGAAACTGACCGTGACTGTATCTTTTATCATTTTTGAACATACCGATTTCTATCGGATCATATAGCAATTGTGTAAGTTAATCATATTTGTTAGTACTAGAGATAAAAAAGAATGAATACAGTCATAACACAATGCGACTTGACTTAGACTTGATTTTTAATTTTTTAAAGGGGTGAGGGTAATGGAGTGTGTTTAGAGATCACCCGATAGATTCTCATTGGTGGGATCTTGAGGCCCCTGATCACGTCTGTTACTTCTCTCGGAAACTAACCTAGCTAGACTAATATACCGGCCAACCATCGAGTCCCAATGTAGAGTAACTTGATTGATTGAAATATAGTTTGGTCCTCCTATTTCTTTTTTATATTAATAAAAATAAAAATGTTCCGTCATCTACGATTACAGTCAGCATAATTTTCCTTTGCTCAAAGTTCTCAGGACAAAATTGAGACTTGCATATAAATAGCATGCAACTCTATCTTAAGAATGAGGTATGCACGTGCAGATGAATGTATTTAAAAGTAACAAACTTTCTACTAGTTTTATTTATAAGGTGGTTGAAGGAGGAGGAGATAAGATAACCCCAATCCACACTACATACATCCTTAATTATTCCAACTAAAGATAAACAAGAAACTGCCAACCCGAGCTAAACTCTTATTCGAAGAATGCCATCCACACTTTGGCACATAAGACTGACTTTTTAAAGTTCATCCACTATTTTTGAGTGGCAAGATGCTACGTAAAGAGGGCCAATAGGTAAGGATCTTCTTGATGCCACCAGTGATGTAGTCATCTGTGGTGCCGGGAGCAAAGTTGATGCGAGCGTAGTAATCTCCTTTGAATAGGTATGCCTCATTAGTCTTGTGCAAAGAAAACCCTGCATCAATTCCACTTTCGAAGATGGTGTTTTTCAAACTAGGAAAGCCTCGATTGATGAGACGGATGGAGATGAGGTGGGAATCATAATCGTAGTTAATAAGAGCATACTGGTTGTCTTTGAAGAGGTAAGCTTCATAGTTTTTCGTTGACTCAAACGCGGTGTCTACGCCATTTTCAAACACTGTCCCTTTGAAGAAGGGGAACATTGCAGTGATGGTCATTGGTCTTGTGATTATCCTATCATTTGCGGTGTGTGGTGCGTAGTTAATCTGTGCACAGAGATTCCCAGATGAATGCTTGATCCTTATGATGAGACCCAAAAGCACAGTCTATTCCAGGTTCTACAAAGGTTGTGCCCGTGAGGGATGGATACCCAATGCCGATAAGATGTGGTCCAAACAACACCTTGTCGTCTTTCGTGCCTGGAGCATAGTTCACTAGCACATACTCGTTCTTCACGAATAAATAGACTTCATTTATACGAGACGAACGAAATGCTGCATTTATATATGCCATTTTCTTCTCTTACCTGCCCAATTAATTTAAAAGTGATGTAAATCATTACACTCATTAGTACTAATGACCAAAAAATCTGAATGTTATTTCTGGTAATAACCAACTCATACAAGGTTAGTGTAAGACACAAATAATAAGGCACTTGTACTGCATATTTTTTATTGGAATTAATCATTCATATTACTAGGATAACATGAAAGCAAAACAAACATAATTGCAAATCCATCTAGAGATTTTTTGAAATTACTAGTCAGTGCAAGGAAAACCTTAACATAGGCTAAGAGAATGTTCTTAGAAAACCCCTATTGATTATTATGAACATAAACTAATACCATAATCTCAAGAAACTTGAGCATGCTCCAACCCTTTTTCTTTTTAACACAATAACTGACTCTTGTTCACTGAAATTTGCATGTCACCATATATATATATATACAAATTGCACCTACTTTTTGGTCAAACATTATACCAAAACCATGATAAAACTTCAACGCAGAGTCACTAACCACAAGAGCTTAAAACTAACATCAACAAGAGACAATAACGTAAAACTCCATCACCTTAACCGAAGTAAAACCCAACAGAATTTGATTGATGATCGATGAGGAAACCTGAGGGACTGAGGGGGGTATATATAGACGTGGTTACGCCTTAGCCACAAACCGCGTGGAGGTTTACAAATTGAACATACATGAAAGTCCACAAAAGAGGTCTAAACTAATGGAATCATAAACCCGACATGTGAAGACTTTCTACTGTCGCAATGGTTGGGTGTATTTTGTTATTTGGGAAGGCAAATGCTTCCTAATTCCTAGCATGCATGTGTGGCTATAAAGCTCGTAGATTGATCAAGCACCAAACAATGGAAGGTTAATGCATGTTCATTTTTAATTAAAAAAATGTTATTTGGACATAATTTGATTACTTAATATATCATAACTATTGAATTTGTAGTTGGTGTCTGGTTTTTTTTTTTTAATATATGTGTCCAAGTTTGCGCAGATTACTCCATCGAGATTAGTGGCTGTCACTAACTTGAGTTGGTTCCAGTTAATACTATAGATCACTATCAATCTAATGACAATAATTCATTTGACTTAGTAAATTAAGTACAATTAATATTATCGAATTACTCTCGTGTGAAACCGTCTGTGTTCAGGGTTAACTCCTCGTAAAGTTGTGCCAACCATAATTCGGGGAGGCAATGACTCAAAAGTGAACATTCATTATATAATGATCCAGTAGCTTGGAGTTCATACTTCATACAGAATTTGAATATTGTAAATCATGGACTTGATGAAAAGTCTCCCCTTTAATAATGCCGCTTTCATGAGATCATGACTTTATTTCATATGTCACTCACTATGGTTTGGGGAATGGAATTGCTAGAATATCATCTTTCTCCTACAGCCAAGAACATCGGAAGTTGATAAATATCAGTTGGTGATACTAAATATAAAAGATGACGTGGTATGTATCATTATATTGAACATTTTCTCTACCAATATATTATATCCATTTCTTTTACTAGAGCAATCCTTTATCACTCCCCAAAGGATCACATCCATATATAATTCCTTTCCTAGTTTGATATATAGTTTGGTATGGTGGTAATCCTATCGAATTTGCAACTATGAGGTTATGAACTTGACTTTGAGGATAAGCATAATTTATGTATAAATAAGACCAAAAAAGATAGGTAGGACGTATTCAATTCATCTTTCTTTACATATTGGGTTTATTATATTGCAGGAAGTGCAAACGGTGCAACAACTCTTTAGAAAATAAAAATTGTAATTAATCAACAAGATCATTATTAAAGTCAGCTTTCACATTAGTAAAATTATGGAAGTATTGACCAATTCAATTGACACATGCATGCATGGCCACGAAAACATGTTACCTAGCATAAGAGTTGTGAGAGTAAATTTCTCGTGGGTTTAACATACAACATGACATTGTCATATAATGTATATCACTGATGATACTCAAAATAATTTTTAAGTATAAGCTCAAACAAAGAGGTCAGACAAATCATTCGGAGCTCAGCGGATCAGAGCTAGAGCTCCCCTCAGTCGAGGTGACATTTGGAAGTTATATGATAACAGCTGGATATTAACAGGGATCCTACAAGTGGCCAAGAGGAATATTCAAGGCGTAAAACACTCAACCAACCAAGATCTTCTCCAAAAATCAAAGAGAATCCCTCGGATAAATGGCAACGATCTCGGTGCAGATCCCACAGATCTTGGAATAGTCCTACAAATACTAAGTGACACCTCTAGCAAAGGGGTAGAACCCTAGTAGCATAAGGAATCAACTGTAATTTATTACTCTCCGTTAATGAAACAAAAGGAGCAAGAGCCTCAATTGAAAAGTGGACTAGTCGAGCTCCCGAGCTGGTGAACCATTATATTTTTCTTGTGTCAATCCCCCAATCCCAAGAAATTCCCTTCACAATCCGCAAGAACCCGGAAGCCCAAACTTGCATTGTCAAATGTAATTTCAATCTTTTGCCCATACATGTCAAACGTAATTTTCCCATACGACTGTTCCTGTTACAAAAACACTGATCTTTCAGTAACTGATGGTCTCAATTCGCAATATGAGTAGAAACCAAACAAATCTACCCTAAACGCAGGACCAACAGGAAGCCACCAACGGTAAACAACCCGAGGATGTCCTAGAGGGAAATCCTCCTATGGGGAATCCCCCTACAAATAATGAGTTTGAGGCTCTTTGCTTAGTCAATCAACGTCTGCTACAGCAGAACGAGGAGCTTCTGAAGCCCTTGCAACGCTCTCAAGAGGCACGATAGGCCCAAGAAGGCTAGAATAACCCACCGCTTAGGGAACAATAACATCTCGACCACCTTAAAGAAATCAATGAATGAGAAAAAAATAGCCAGATCCTGAGGCAAGTTCCCCATCCACCCCCTAGGAATGAGCACAATGAAGAGGTGCAAAGTCAAAATGATGAGGGCGAAAGGAATGACTTCTTCCTTTATCAGCAGAAGAAAAGATAAGAGTATTGGGAGCAGCGCTTCAAGGGCATCCAACAGGAGCTAAGCCACATGAAGGAAGCGGTGAGGGGCAAGGCTCCGGTTACAATAGATGCCCTGGTGCAACAGACTGAGTACCTATTCACCACTGGCGTGCTGCACTTTTTCCTCTCCCAAAATTCAGAATGCCACAGATAGAGGTTTTTGATGGGACGAAAGACCCCGTGGACCACCTCAATATCTACAAGAACCAGATAGAACTGCATGGGTATCAGGATCCCGTGCGCTACAGGGCCTTTGCAATCACATTAAAGGGCTCAGCCCTGGCGTGGTTCAATAGGCTCCCCCCAACCTCGATCTCCTCCTTTAAAGAACTTTACATATCTTTTGTATCTCACTTCATAGGAGCTTGGACATATAGAAAATCGTGCTACCACTTACTGAACATAAAGCAAGGTCCCCAAGAGAATCTCAAGACTTACGTCTAGAGGTTCAATTCGGAGTCACTAAAAGTGGATGTCCCAGACGAAAAGTTTGAAGTTACTGCATTCATAGTTGGTCTGGGCGTACAATCTAAGGATCTGATGTTCTCTATTTCAAAGAACCCTAGGCAAACATGACAGAGGTACTGGCCAAAGCAGAGAAGTATATAAACGGCGAGGAAACTCTTCTCTCAAAAGTAGGGTGTTCTTGCACGCATAAGACAAAGGGAAAGAAGAGAAAAAGAGGGACCGAAGTCCTAGAAGAGAAAGAGGATGAGATAGGTCTCCGAGAAGAGACCAAGATCCTTCCCCCAAAAGAAGGGGAGACATTAGAAATCGCTTAGGTCCGCCTCAGCCAGAGTTGTAACCTAGGTGCGCACCTCGGCAGCTCCCTCCTCGCACTGTAACAATTTCGCAGATCTTGTATAAGGTACAAAATGAGAAATTTCTAAGATGGCCACCTCGGATGAAAACAGATCCAGCAAAAAGAGATCCCACAAAGTACTATGAGTACCATAAGGACCATGGTCATCACACCGATGACTGCATCTAGTTGAAGAAAGAAATTGAGTTCCTGATCCAACGAGGACAGTTACGCCATTACGTAGCTCAAGACAATTAGAACCGAGCTCCGCCACCTTAGCAACAGGCCCCTGTGCAGCACCAGCAACCCCTAGGGGAAATTAGAGTATATCTGGACGATTCGCCGGAGGCAGAGAGTCCAGTTTAGCCAGAAAGGCTCACATGCGTAGAATTAGAGCTAACGAATCACCCGTAGTGCACACCGTGTCCAAGGCACCCCGGCTGAGCACAACTATCACTTTTTCAGACTCAGACTTGGAAGGTTACCGACATCCCCATGATGACCCGCTGGTAGTAAGGGCTGTCGTGGCAAACAGAACTGTTCATCGAGTTCTGATTGATAACGGGAGTTCTGTAGATATCATCTTCGCCTCCACATATGATAAAATGGGCATAGGCAGGGAGAAGCTCGAGCCAGTAAGCGCTCATCTGTTGGGGTTCACAGGGGAAAGATTATTGCCCCTGGGCTCAATCTAGCTTGTGCTCACAATGGGAGATCCTCCTTGTCAGACGACCACCACCGTGAGATTCCTGGTGGGTGATGCCCCTTTTGCGTATAACATTCTACTCGGGAGACCTGCCCTCAACGCAATGAAAGCCATCCCCTCTGCCTATCACCTAGTTATGAAATTTCCAACAGAAAATGGAACTAGGGTGGTCCGAAGAGATCAGCAGGTAGCAAAGGAGTGCTACATGACTTCGATGAAGCAGAAAGAAGTTAAGAATATCCAGTTAGGCGAGCTCGGCATGAGAGACTAACTGGACACTAGGTCAATGCCATCGAAAGAGCTAGAGCCTATTCAGCTTGGTGAGGAGCCAGAACACCTTGTCTACGTCGGGTCTAAACTGAGCAGGAAAATTAAGGATCTTCTCATCCAGTTCCTGAAGAAGAACTTGGGGGTGTTCGCTTGGAAACAAGAAGACATGGAAGGTAT